CTGTAAAGCTACATAGCTCATCCTATGTAGAAGTACCATATCATCTCTGATACCAACAAGCAGCTGAGGAACAATAAATGCGTGTGGTCATTGAGCCGCATGGATAAGGCATGCCCTATTTCAGCCGAAAATGTCGGGGAGGCTACTTCACGAGGGAAGATTGTTTGCAGATTACCAAACTCGGTTCCGGTGTGGGTTCAAAGGAGAGCCAGTAGTTTAAAGGATTCTGCGGTAAGAGGCCGTCAGTTTTTCGTCGGTTTTCCTAGGAAGGTAAATGAACCCGGACACCTGGGGTGAACGTACTGAAGGCTCATCTCGAGTTCCATTTCAAAAATGACCCGGTCCTCTGTGCAGGAGTGCTCCAGCCCACGGGGCTAACCATAAGTTCATTCAAGACTAGTGCCGAATTGAGCTAACCGACTTTGATAGCACCGAGGAATAACATCTTTTTCAAAAGGGTGCACCATTTCACCTCTCACTCAGGTGACTTACTAGTAAGGTTCGAGACCGTATCCTAGTTTTGAGTCACTTAAAGCAGCAATGAGGAAATTCTTCTAAGAAATTTACGAGGAATACTTGCATGGAAAGTGAGAGTAGACCAAGAAGCGATTCCGAGCTTGTATTTGAAGCAGTAGAGGACATATCGAGTTCTGGTTGTCCCACATCATTGTACACGATGCAATTTGACTTGCATATGGTTTCACTGCGCATTAATTGTTTAAAAGCTTAAAATATATTGCTGTGCATAGATGCCGATAATTTTGGGAACCCTTTTAATGGAGAGGGCTCACGCGTCGGTCTTGCAGACAATTTTAAAGAACGCGTTGGTAATAGTTAGTATAAACGTCTCCTTTTGTGAGTTACAAAGCTCGCTTTGATTTCAAGTACTATTCATGAAGTCCATTCGTTTTCTGGTGGAAATCTTTAGTCTAAACGTTCTCAATCGAATACAGACCTTGGACACTCAAGCGTTGTTCAGGTGGAGTCTTCCTTTTGGATAACTTTGGGATAACTTCCATTTGAAATTTTTGAGTTTATCCTTCGTTAGCCTGAAAATCCTGTTCGACATCTTCCTTGGCATCAGCAGTAGATATCCCGTAACAGACGCCTTCGTATTCATGTAAATAAGGCAGTTAACGCCTTTTGACGACATTGCGGATTTAAATCGTGCCTCGTGAGGCCTGCCTCTTTTTGGCACACCCCCCAGCTCTCCCTCAAAATTAGGAAAAATTGTCCTTTAAAGCAATTTTTCTGTAGAATTTTCGACTCTAACAGTATACCACGTTATAACTACAGTTCTGGGCTTTCATACTGTAAATTATTTTAAGAGAATTCCAAATTTGGACGGGGAACTCGCGTTTCAAAGGGAAGGAGGGCAAAACCTTTAAAAGTTCTAGTGTCCAAGAGAATTTCCGGTACACTTCAAACCCTTCCCATATCTGAAGGCTATGAGAAGACGAAGAAGTCCTGATTAGTAATTAATCTTCGGCCTAATAATTTAAAATTCCAATTAATATGGTGGCGAGCTAAATGGCACATTCTAAAATTCTATATAAATTAGCTTAAGCCTCCATCGTGCCTAGCCATAGATATGATAGAACTTGTTTATAATTATTGGGGTGTTACAAATGTTTAAAATGCACAAAGTAGGAAATTTTAAGGTGGCACCCACCATTGGGTGCCATTGTCCCACGGGGCAAACATAGTAGCATCCACCGGTGGGTGCCTGTTGTCAATATGGTTAAAACATCCATGGGAGGGAAATTGAATCCTAATCCAAGGCGTCTCGGTGTAAATTCCAACTGCGAACGAACTTGTGGTAAGAAAAAGTATGGAGATATGTGTTGGAAGGTAGAGAAATCTCAATGAACAGTTCCTTTCACTAAATTGTTTGGCGAATTTAACACATCCCAGGACCGCCTGACACTCACGAGATTGTCACTTTTGCCTCTTTGTGCCTCCTGACACCCATAGACACATTATTTTGAAGACTTAAACTTTCCTGGATGTTCAAGTTTTCGACTATTTTTTCTTTCGATTTATTCTTGTTAATATCCAAACTCTTATGTAAACAAATGGGCATTATGACAGAACTAAGTTCCAGAATGACTACACCCGTTTAAAGCTTGTGAATAGGAGTAGTTATTGGCATTCAAAACAAAGGAACTTGCAACACTAGGCATACTTTGTACCGGACAGTTGGAACTAGGGTACTGGAGAGGGGTACAATATAATAAAAAAGTGTCGATAGGAATTAAATGGTCAAATGATCAGGAAGAAGCAGACCATATGGGCTGATGCAAAGGTGCATGGAAGTTAGGTGAAATTTTTTTAGAAGATACAGAAATTTGATGGAATTTGTCTACGGAACGACGTGGTAATGTTAAGAAAGCCTATAAGTGAGTATAGAAAAGAATGCCTACAGCTCGAATAATCGAAGTAAGTGAAATGAGGGATGGATCAAGCTGCTGTTACATTATCAATCATCAGCGGTTGACGAAGTTGATTCCTTTAACACATTCACGACGGCGCCCCTTTTCCACTTTTCGGTCGCGTGGGACGGACGCGATTTTGTGGGCGCCGCCGCCTCACCACACACCGCAGATTTTGTTTTGTAAATGAACAAAAACATGAATGTCACAAAATAATTTCTGCAATGTCCAATGCGTAAAGATTATCTAAACATATAACAGTAGGATTTCGATCAGAACGACAAATAGTGGTTACGAAAAGAGAGCATTTATTCACTTTCCCCGTGAAGGAATTTAAAAGCATTTTACACTCGATTACGAGGTTTGCCCACCTATCTGTCCATTCCTAGCGCCTGGCAAGCGATTATCAGTTGGCAGCCCATATGGGCTGCCATCGTCCCAGGAGCGCATGTTGTTGGCAGCCCATATGGGCGGCCATCGGCGTGAATGTGTTGAAAAGTCTTCATCAGGTTATTGCAGGTCGTTAGCTCTGCCTCTGACGCGTTTACTTCTCGTGGTTAAATTTATGCACTTTTAAGCTTTCGCTTCATCCATCAATATATTGCCAATAGCATCAAATGTTTTGTTCTTCATATTCGCCGAATAAAGCCTTTGTTTCAGATGGAAGAGAGGTGAGGATGGTAATGAGCAATTAGTTGGCTGTTGGGATAGGAATCTCATAGAGAAATTTCTCAGTGAAAAAGGTCTCAATTTGGATATGATGTAGCATTCACTTGAATTGCTCGCTATGTTCGGCTTTTATTACACGTTCCCTAGAAATCATCATAAAACTTGTTCAGCC